ATTTTTTGTGAAAGTTGGGGTGAAATCACTTGCGGACGACCGGCTCTTTTTGACTTCGTTACTTTACTAGTATTTTTTAGTTTCCGAAGGTTATTATAAATAGTTGTTAGAGATATTTTGGTCACTGTATAAATTTTTTTTATTGTATGTATACCATTTTTCCAAAAAGATAATATTAATTCTCGCTGTTTAAAAAGAGTCATAGTTGTTATTTCAACTTTGATCTATACTAGTGAAGAGAAGTTGGGAAACAAAAGATTCAAGAGAAGTTAGTTAAAGTTCTATTCTTCTTATCTTTATATTTTGGTATTACATTCCTATTTAAGCTTGGTTAGTTTTATTTGTACAGATCTTGCCGCAGTGATTTTCCATTAATTTTGATTCATACTGTATATAGAATAACTTGAGATATAGAGAGAAGTATTATATTGGTATTAATAAAATTAACTTTTAATTTTTGTAAAAAAAAACATTTATCTAATATTAACCTTTTATTTATTCCATTATTAAAATTTAAGATTGGAAGGAAATGTTAAGTAAATCTTAAATTGATCATAATAATGGTTTATAATTATTTATTACCATATTTAAAGAGTTTGTTACTTAAATTATTTATCAACTTCACAATAACAATTGTTAAAATTATCAAGTAAAAAATGCAGTATAAAAAATAAATTAAGAAAAAAAATATCTCTTGCATTTCAGACCTGTCTAGAACCTTTTGAAATTATATTTGGTTAAAAAATAAATTTTTAATAAGCATAACCTTCTGCCAACGAGTAAAATAGAATTCCAGTATTTGAATTTTTGCAGAAGGAAAGGTTCAAAATAGATATTGTTTATTGTAATCTCATGATAAGCATACCTCATAATTTTGAGGCTGTTAGAATATCTAAAGAAAATTCTACAATATATTTTAGAAGAATTTTTAAAAAAAAATTTCAAAGAAATACAGTACTGTACGTATTTATAAATTATTGTCTAACAAGAAATAAAAAATCGTCATTATACAATTATTTTTACTGCCCCTTATTGCCAAGTTGTACAATGCACTGTACGTATCTAGTAATACTGTATTTCACAAATGCATGATCAAATTTAAAAGGCCATGCATACACGGTACAGTACTATTCGCAGTACAGTACTGTATACGAAATGGAAACAGATATTGAATTATTAAGTAAGGCCAAGGTCAGTAATGATATTGAGGAAATTATACGATTGCTCAAGAAGATTGGTGGACAGCTTTGGGGAAAGGTTAATGAAGAAAGTGAGATCACCTTGCAAACGGCTGATCGTTGTTTATCCATTTACAAGATTTATAAGGCAACTAACAAAATAGCCAAAGATGATTTGACAGCACAGGAGACATCAATATTAAAAGAATTTTTTTTAAAAAGAGTAATGCAGTCTAGTGGGGAACCAATAAAATTTTCCTCTCGTATCGATGAACTTAAAAAAACCCTAGGAAGAATTCAGCATGATCAAGCAAAGGATATTATCTGTCAAGTCCAGGAGGCCAAAAATAATTCTGAAAAAGTTTGTATAATTAAAGAAGGTTATCAGAAGCTCAATCGATCGTTGCATAAATTGCTTTATGACATCACCGAACTTGCAATTGTTACTATTTGCGGTAATAGAATTAACGAACAAGAATTTGCGGTTGTGCTATTGGGATCGTGGGCAAAAGGTACGGCCACGCCGTATTCAGACATTGAGTTCTGCATTTTAATCAAGGATCATGATCCAAAATTGAAAGAAACATTGCGCCGGATAGTATATCTGATGAACTTCATTGTCATCGGTATGGAGCAAACAGCACTTCCTTGGAATCTATTTCAAATTCCCGATAAAATAAACGGCATCGACTTTGATGATCTGCTAAAACCGGGATTTCAATTTGACCTTGGAGGAAAAACACCGATAGGGCGTTCAGATAAAGATTATGACTTAATTCAAACACCTCAAGATATGGCAAATTACATTAATTCTAGAACGCTAGAGAAAGATCCCTTGCTAGTTGCCGAATTGATCGATTGTCAGCTCTTAATTGGCAATGAAAATCTATATAAAGAATATAAGAAAAAAATCAACCAACAGTTATTATTCAAAGGAGACATGGATCAATTACCTTTTCATAAATGGATGGCTAGGGTTCTGCTTCAAATTGGCACAAAAAGTTTACAGGCTGATTTAAAAAAATATAAGATTCACATCGATAGAGTCAGTGATGAAGGAAGATTACTGAATATCAAAGCTGAAATTTATCGCTTGCCTGATCGTTTGATTGAAGGGCTAAGGTTGATTTTTGCGACATCTGGCGAAACTTTATGGGGCAAAATTTCGGGACTCTTGCAAAAAAATATTATCAGCCAAGCAGGAGCAACTCAACTCGAGTTCATGACAGCCGTGGCCTTACAAACCCGCCTGTTTACCTATCTCACTCACGGTAGCCAAAGCGAATTGCAAGGAATTTGGGACACCACAGTTACTCCTAGTGGTATGGATGTTGGAAATTTTTTTGGTATAAGTGATATTTCGAACCTGGTTAAATTTTATCAAATTGCAATTCCCCTTTATCAGTTTGTACAAACGAGTGTCAGCAAAGAACACTCTTTACCAATCAATGAGAGAAAAAGCTTCTTTGACGAGAAATTAACAACGAAAGCGACAATCTGTTTTAGGTTTATGCTTTATCGGCAGGCCGAACTATTGCTAACCGAAGCGCCGCAGACAGAGGATTCTTATTTTCAATTGTTTCGCTTGTATTTTCATTTAGGGAAGCCTCAGTTGGCTTATGAGTTTTATGAAAAATATTTAGAATGTAGATCTCTGGAAGTAATTGATCGTTTTAACTTGGGTTACCTCAAATTGGCATTGGGAAATCACAAAGGAGCGCTCGATGAATTTAATCTTGCAGTTTGTGAACTTGAGATGAATGAACAGGAATTATCCATGGAAAGTGTGCAGGCATATTGCAGTATTGCTCAGATTGAATGTCTGTTAGGAAATTCATCGGCCGAACATCATAATCTCAAGAAAGCCAGTGATATTATCGAGTGCTTATCTGAAAAAAATAAAAGTTACGTGATGATTGATTTTTATCTTGGATACGCAAGGTTGCATGCAAGTCAAAACCAATTCCACCAAAGTAAACATTACATACAACAAGCTCTCGATCACACGAATAAGATTTATGACAAACAAGCACACGTTAAACTCGTTGACATTTACCAACGAGCAGCTGAAATTTTGCAGCAGTACAATCAATGGGAACAAGCAGTGGACTACAAGGTTTTATCAATCAAGATGCTCAATACACTTTATGTAGGGAAAGTTGTGGCCCAGTTACTCGACTCTTACATTAGCCTCGCCGATACTTTATGCCTTATGGGAAAATTCAATCAGGTCGAAGAGCATCTATCTCACGTCACCTCTCTGCTGCCTAATGTGGAACATGAACTCACGAACAGGGTGCTCACTTTTAAACTTCTTCATGGGTACATGAAAGTTTATCAAGCGAGAGGGAGCTATCAATGGGCCTATGATAAGTATGTAGAAGCAATTAGTGTGTATGAAACATCTCTTAAGGGAAATCCTTATTATCGGTTGCAACTCGCTAAATTCTACTTGGATGCATTTGAGACTTGGATTAATTTCGACAAGAGAGAGGAGGGTAAGCAGAGATTACTTGAGGCTATCGGAATTATTACCGAACAATGCGGGGAAAGCCATAGCGATCTTGCGAAAGCTTATTGTCAATCGGCCATCTTAGACATGGATCAAGGTCAAAATGAGTTTGCAGAGGAAAGACTTTTACAAGCATATAATATCTATGAGAAACTACCTAAAATTTATCCCAATTATCTTACCACCATAATGAAATTATTGACTATCTTCAAATGTGAGGAGAGTGCATTATTGTACGCCGAGAAACTTTATCTGCATGCTGAGAAATTGCAACCAAGCCTAGTTTTAGAGGCTATCATGTGTTTCCTTGAAACCTCATTGAATCTAGCCAACTATCAAAGGATTATTCCGTATATTGAGGATGTGACTACAAAGATTAATAAATTAGATGTAACTTGTTCAATAAGTGAACTTGAAAAATTGAATTATGAAATGCTTGAAAGTATGCTAAAAATTAAAAAGATCAAACAAAAATTGCTGATGGTACAGATAATGCCATACCTTTCCAATGATGAAAAAACTATACAAACATCAATCATATTAAAACAACGCATAATAAAATATAAGGGCGAAGGTGATATATTATTAAAGAGTATCATGACACATCGACCTGATTTGATTAAACTTATAGATCGTTATGCGGAATTGATCAAGGAAGGACAACAACTGTTGGATGAAATACGCATACAGCTACCACGAGATCCTTTGGAAATCGGTTTAATGAATGTGAAAGAACCAATCCCCAAATTTGATGCAAGAAACTATTTACTGAATATGCTTTCAAAGTACGCCATCGATTACGTTGACGAAACCGAGCTTGAACAACTGTTAGGTCTCTCAGGACAATTTTCTATGATAATAAATATGGCTACAGCTTACATTTCAATTTCAAAGTCAAAGAGTATCAAAGAATATTGTGATCTCATCATAAATTTTAAAGGAGATATTCAAAACTTATCTCTGACTTTGAAAAATGAAGCCTATATTAATTCTTGTGCTGTATTTTTGCACAACAGACAGGCACTTATGATATTAACTGAAGACAATAACAATGATCTCCAGGAATTACTCATAAAGAACAAAATGGTATTTTATTTAATGCATATTATCGGCGATAAAGCACCTGAAGCTTTCATCAAACATACATTAATTCAACTGGGCTTAAATGAAGCGCGTGCGAATCAATCAATCACTATTTTACTTATTCTAAATTTGCTGGGAAGAGAAAATAATTTGGTCACTATACCTAGTTTTATTGAGGCATTTCTATGCTCGGAATTTCGCGATAAATATTTGCCGTTGGTTTTGCAGGCAATCATCGTAACATGTTACTCGCATCTAGAATGTTCGAGTCAAGTCAATTCGGAATTAGAAATAGTGATGGATATCTACCGACGGGCCCTGTTAAAATTCTATGAATTTCTCATGCGTAACCAGCATAGCGAGATATATAAAAATTTTAGGGATTTTGTCATTGAACATCTTTATCACCTGAGCAGTATTTGTGACGACTCTCACAGATCTGATCAAAAAACTTATTTAAATTTATTGATTGATTTGTATGGTAACTTGGATAAAAATACCATAGTGTATGCGGAAATCATTACCTTGCTTTCTTTTGCTGAACGAAATGCCTCAAACTACTCTCGGCATTTAGAACTTCTCCAAGAAGCTCATCTCATTAAATCTCGTTTATACGAGAGCGATAGTCCTTTACTGGCAATCAGCTTACTTAATCTCGCTCGCGCATTTGGAGATATAAAAAATAATGCTAAACAAAGGGAATATAGCGCAAAGGGTTTGGAAATATTAAAAAAAGATTACGATTCAAGTTATGATAACTTAACGTCCGAAGAGAAAATTAGAAAAGAAGTAGATATAGTCAATGCTATGATGAACTTTGCGACAGGGCATGTATGGTTTGACAATTCGCTTTTTGTGAAATTACTCGAAGAATGCCTGGATTTTTATAATAGTCATAGCCTCAATAGACCTGATGTTAAAGAAGGCATATTGTCGAAATTAATTAATGCCTATGTTACTCAGGATCCTGACAAGGCACTGGAAATATATCAGCAATGGGAATCTTTGCAAGAACACGGTCAGGAAGGGACTCAGGCATATGCCTTTAATGTTGGACTTGTTTTGACAAATACAGGAATGGCACTCTCAAAGAAGTCCATTGGCTCTGTGTTGAATATGCTTGATTCGACTGATATTTCAGATGTAACAGTCAATAATGCCAAAATATTAAATTTGCAGGCACGTCATATTATCGAGAAGGCTACTTGTTTGCTTGCAGCCTATTATCCAAACAACCATTACATATTTACGCAGGCATCAAACGCGTTGACCAGCACAAGAGACGTGGAAAACATTTTGCGCTCTATTCAGAAGTCGATTGAAGGTGTTAGGTTGTTTCGTAATGGAAACCTTGACCAGGGAAAAATTATTTTCCAGGAAAT